CGAGAGGGAGACGGCGCCGGCTTCTCAGTGAGCGCGCTCCTTCCTCAGTTCTTAATGCTTAATGAACAGGTGCTCGAGAGGGAGATGGTGCAGCAGGAGGCTTAATTAGGTGTTAACTTAATGATTAATTAACAGGAGCTCGAGAAGGAGGTGGCGCAGCAGGAGGCGCTGCTGCACGGCTTCCAGCGCGAGAACGAGAGGCTCGCTGCCGAGATCTCGCCGAGATCTCGCCGAGCTCTAGAGACATAGCTCGAGCGTATCTCGGCGATCTCTCGGTGATCTCCCGGCGATCTCCCGGCGATCTCCCGGCGATCTCCCGGCGATCTCCCGGCGATCTCCCCGCCGCAGGCTCACTGTCGAGCTCCGCGCGGCAAGGGAGGCTGCGCGTGTGGTGGAGGCGAGATGTGCCCGAGATGGATCGGGGGCTCCCTCCCCCCTCTCCCTCCTCCTCCTCCACCTCCTCCTCTCTCTCTCTCTCTCTCTCTCTCTCTCTCTCTCTCTCCCTCTCTCCCTCTCTCCCTCTCCCTCTCTCCCTCCTTCTGGGACGCTGCAGCGCGGATGCGGCGGAAGCTGATGCGCTTGAGCAATCAGCACGCCATGCATCCGTTCGCCCAGGCGAGGCACGCCGCGGAGATGACGCGGCTGAACGCAGAGCGGCTCACCGAGGCGGACTGCGCGCTGCGAGCGGAGACACTTCCGAGACACTTCGCAGGCACTTCCGAGACACTTCCGCGACACTTCCTAGGCGGATTCGGTGCTGCGGGCGGAGCGAGCGAGCGAAGGACGCCGCGCGCCGCCGCTCGCTGCGAGATTGGACGAGATTGGCCGAGATGACCCGAGATGACGCGAGGGTAGGGCACCGGTCGGCGCTGCTCGCGGCCCACTCGCGCGCAGACGAGGCGGGCGGGCGGCGCGGCACTAATTTTTTAACTCCTCAACTGCTTGATTGGTTAGTTGAGTGGCCGTAGGCGGACGAGCGGCGCGACGCAGCGGAGGCGGCAGGCAAAGGCTTGCCACGCCACCCCACGGCCTCTTGTTCATGCGTCCGTGTTGACCAGGCGGCGGCAGAGGTGCGCGGCGCCCTTCCTCCCGCGGACTCTTCCCCGAACCTTCTCGGAACCTTCCCCCGGCGTAGGCGGCGGCGAGGCGGGAGGCGTCGGAGCGGCGCGAGCTCGAGCAGAGGCATGCGGAGATGACCCGAGATTGCCCGAGATTGCCCGAGATTGCCCGAGCTCGAGCAGAGGCATGCGGAGATGACCCGAGATTGCCCGAGATTGCCCGAGATTGCCCGAGCTCGAGCAGAGGCATGCGGAGATGACCCGAGATTGCCCGAGATTGCCCGAGATTGCCCGAGCTCGAGCAGAGGCATGCGGAGATGACCCGAGATTGCCCGAGATTGCCCGAGATTGCCCGAGATTGCCCGAGCTCGAGCAGAGGCAATGCGGAGATGACCCGAAGCGGCGCATCAAGCGGTTGGCACTAGCACCAATCAAGCTAAGCACTCTCCTTGAAGGCTCGCGGAGCTCGACCCGAGGCAGCTCGAGGTGGAGAAGGAGCGGCGGCGTGCGGCCGAGGCGGCGGCGGCGGCGCAGGCGGAGGAGCTGTGTGCCGTGCGTCGGCGGCTGACTGGTACATCGACACGACGTCTGACAAGGAGGGGGAGGGTCATTGGGCCAAAGTCCGCTCTCTAGGCGTCTGGACTGGTACATCGACACGCAGAGGCTTCTCAGCGAGGCGGAGGCGGAGGCGGAGGGGCTGCGCGCGCGCGTGGCGGAGCTCGAGGCGCGGGGGCAGGCGAGGTGCAGCCGAGATGCAGCCGAGATGCAGGCGAGATGCAGCCGAGGTGCAGGCGAGATGCAGCCGAGGTGCAGGCGAGATGCAGCCGAGATTCAGGCGAGATGCAGCCGAGATGCAGGCGAGATGCAGCCGAGATGCAGGCGAGATGCAGCCGAGATGCAGGCGAGATATGCAGCCGCCCAGCTCCTCCCTTCCAGCACACCTCCACCCCTCCCCTTAGACACTTCCGAGACGCTTCCGAGACGCTTCCGAGACGCTTCCGAGACGCTTCCGAGACGCTTCCGAGACGCTTCCGAGACGCTTCCGAGACACTCCTTAGGCCGAGGTGCAGGCGGCAGCGACGCAGACCGAGGCTCCCAAGCCAAAGGCGGCCTTGCCGAAGCTCAAGGACGGCCGCCAGGTCTCTCCGCATGGCCAGGAATGGGCTATCTCACCGGTGGGTGTCAGCTGTAGGCGGGCGCCGGTCGGTTCCCCGGCCAGGCAGGCAAGGAGCCGCTTCAGGGGCTGGGCGAGCTGCTGGCTGCGGTGGGGCCGCCGCCGGAAGAGGTGGAGGAGAGGGCGAGGCTGCAGGCGCCGGTCGGCCCGAGATCGCGCGAGATCGTGCGAGGTCGCGCGAGGTCGCGGGGAGATTGCGCGAGCTTGCTTCCGCAGGCGCGAGTCGAGGCGCTCGAGGCGGAGCGGGGCGAGGCCGCCGCGGCGGCGGAGCGCCGCTTGCGCACGTTGCGGCAGCAGCACGACAAAGTAACACAGCACCACACACACGCACGCACGCACGCACGCACGCACACACACACACACACACACACACACACACACACACACACACACACACACACACACACACACACACACACACACACACACGCACACACGCACCTCGCCCACCCGCACTGGACCGTGCACTGTTAATGCCGCGGGGCTCCTGTCGTCTGGACGTGGAGACGCGAGGGATAGCCGGGCCCTTGCCCCACCACCTCGTGCGTGTGTGGAGACGCCTCCCTCACCTCACCTCACCCTACAAGGTGACGGCAAGCCTGGAGCGGCGCGTCGACGCGCTGGCCAAGCAGCTGCGCGACGCCGAGGCGGCAAAGGCGGCCGCGCGGCCGCGCTCCGCACATCATGAGTTCGTCCACTGATTGATTTAACTCATGACTTCAAAGGCGGACGCGCGGCCGCCCGGGGCTGCACGCGCGGGCGCCGGGCGGGTCAAGGAGTTGGAGCGGCAGCTCGAGGAGGTGCACAGCGGGCGAGGGACACGTCCACGACACGTGCACGACACGTCCGCGACACGTGCACGACATGTCCACCACACGTCCCGCCAGGTGCGCTCAGTGTACGGCCGGCGGGTGAGGGAGATGGAGGAGCGAGCGAAGGAGGCGGAGGCGCGGCTGCACCGCAAGGGAGGGCACGGCACCCGCCCGCCGCCCGCCGCCGCCGCGCCCCCTCCGCCGCCGCCTCCCTTCCAAACCGATGCCCATGCATCGCCACCACCTGTCGCCACCGCCTCCACCGCCTCCACCGCCACCGCCACCGCCACCGCCACCGCCGCCGCCGCCGCCGCCGAGGCTGCGCCGAGCGTAGACGAGGGTCGACCTGCGCCGGCGCCGCCCTCTGCTCGACGTGCCGCACTGTGAATAGGCAGGTGTGAATAGGCAGGTGTGAATAGGCGCCCTCTGCTCGACGGGCCGCACGGCCGCAGGAGCAGCGCCCGGAGCAGCGCGAGGACGGCGAGGGCGAGGGCGAGGGCGAGGGCGAGGGCGAGGGCGAGGGCGAGGGCGAGGGCGAGGAGGTGGGCCGCACCGGGCAGGACGCGGCGCCTTCCCCGACCGACGCGGCGACTAGCCCGGCCGTCGGCTCGGCCGTGCTGTGAACAGCGCCTCTTCACACCCGGGGCTGTGAACAGGCGTCTCGCCCGGCGGTCGACCCGGCCGGCTACTCGCCGCCCTCCGCTTGCGGCACGCTCGGCAGCGAGATGAGCCGAGATGAGCCGAGATTGCCCGCCCGTGGCACGCTCGGCCGCGCGGCGCTGGAAGAGGGCCCGGCGCAGCTGCAGCTGCTGCGAGGCCAGATGCAGTCGCTCGAGCTGAGGCAGCAGCAGCGGGCGGCGGAAGCGGCGCTGCTGCTCGAGGACACGAGGTGCGTGCCGATCGGTGAGGCGGGGCGGCCGTGCTGTGAACAGCGCCTCTTCACACCCGCGGCTGTGAACAGGCGCGTCTCGCAGGCGGAGACTGCGCGCGTGCGGCGTGAGCTCGGCCAGGCGCTCGCTCGAGAGGGACGTCGCGTAGGCACGGGGCGCGGGGCCAGTGAGCTGACTCGCCTTGGATCGACCCGTATGCGCAGGCGCTCGCGGAGAAGGACGATCTGCTGCGCACGTTCCGCCGCGAGATGGACGCAATCGTGGGCGACATCTCGCTGCTGTACGAGCAGCAGGTCCGGACGCACGTCGAGTGACTCGAAGGGTGGGAGGGTGCATGCGAGGGAGGCGCGTAGGTAGCTGCAAGCTGGGATAGCTGTTAGCTGTGCTCCGAGTCGCGGCACAGCAACACACAACTAGCGCCTCGCGGGGCCGCAGCGAGTGCGCAGTGTGGACACAGTGCGTATAGGGTTAGACGGTCAAGGTCGATCAGGGACGTCACGCCTATTACTGTATGCGCAGCAAGAGAGGAGCAGTATTGCAGGGCCACCACGCCCGCGCACTTTACTCTTGAAGCCAGCAGCTGCTAAGCGCAGCTAGTACAGAGGCTAGTGCCATTTCACTGTGGCACAGCTCGCGTTACAAAACCTTGATTTTGACCATTGCGCGAAAAAGGTACATCTCGGTGCCTTCCAGAAGCAGCTGCGACCCCGCTGAGTGGACGGGCGCACACAGCAGGTGGCGCGGTGTGACGCCGTCCACTCGGCTGGGTCGCAGCTGCCTCTGCGCGTCCTGTGGATGTACCTTTGTCGCGCGCCGGAGACGACTCGACGCCGCTGAGATCGGAGATCAAGCTCTGACAGGTCGCACGTCGCTCCTTTGACGCCGACGTGATTTACCCGTGCAGATCACATCAGGACACGGTCTCGACGCGCTCAGTACGACGCCTGCGACCCGTCTCGGGTCAGGTGGCACGACGCTCATCGCGCCCGCCAGCGCTGCCGTGCAGGCTGCCACGTCGAGGTCGAGCACGCTTCTATACGCTCGCCGAGCCTTCCTTTCCATCCCGTTAGGCAGCCTGGGAACGGTGGCGATCAGAGGCAAAGCCTACGAGGGGTGGTGGAACCACATGTCACGGCTACTGCCGGCTCGACCCCACGATAGCCTCCGAAGGCTGACTTTGCGGCACCATCATCGGACGATGTCGACGAGTTGGGTCGCTCTCGCGGTAGCCAGATGACCTCTCATACTAGGATCATCGGCCATGGCCGCAGGGAGCGCGGGGGAGGGCGCTGGATGCAACACGGAGCTCCGTTGGACGCGTTTTCAAGATTAGCGTGTCAGAGTGAAATGGCACTAGCCAGAACGATCCAAATAAAGCGTGTGCGAGTCGTGAGTTTGTGGAGGCCCCCCTAAAGCCGTATCTTGAGCCTTGTCACAGTACACAGCTTTCCATCAAAACCAGAGGCCCCCGGCCCCTCGTGCCCGAGTCAGACGCATGTGCCGTTCATGGCGGACCGATCAACTCGTACCATATTGCTCGCACGGCGAATCGCGCCGCCCACAGGGAGAGTACAGCGCTCTTGGCGGGGTCCGTCAACGGTGGCCGGTTGCTAGTCCGTGCCGCCGCCGCCGTCCGCCGCCGCCTCCCCCCGCGCCAACCGCCGCCGCTTGGGCGCAGGAAGCATCGCCTCCGCCTCCGCCTCCGCCTCTGCCTCGCCACACTTCGAGGGGGCGCTGCCATCGCCTCCACCGTTAACGCCGCCGTTCACTCCGCCGCTGTCGCCGCCATCGCTACCGCCGCTGTCACCACCGTTGGCGCCGCCACCGCTGCCAGCACCGCCGCCTCCTCCGCCGCTGCCGGAGCCCACCGCCTCCTCGGCCGCAGCCTCGCTTCCGCCCGCGTCGCCGCCCTCCAGATCGCTGCCTGCCCACCGCGGCTCCGCGCGCGCAGCCTCCGCCCCTCCGCGCGCCGCCGCGTTGACCGCCGTGTAGTGCGCGATCTCGGCGAGGACAAGCTTGCGGATGGCGGCGGTCTGGACCTGCGAGGTGGGGCAGCCGAGGTGCAGCCGAGGGGCAGCCGAGGTGCAGCCGAGGGGCAGCCGAGGTGCAGCCGAGGTGCAGCCGAGGTGCAGCCGAGGGGCGGCCGAGGGGCAGCCGAGGGGCAGCCGAGGTGCGGCCGAGGGGCAGCCGAGATGAGTCCGACGTGCATCCGAGGTGCATCCGAGGTACATCCGAGGTCTAGATTGCGGGGTCGGCGGCTCTCTAGAGACCTCGGCGTGCTCGAAGTCGATGGTCGCCGCGTCGACTGGCCGCACGGCGATCTTCGTGTCGAGCCTGCCGACGATGAAAGAGTCGTCACTCCTCGGCACTCGGCAGGGCCGCACGGGGACCTCCGTGTCGATCCTGTATGTCATCGACTCGAAGAAGCGGTGCTCGAGCGCCTGCTCGAGCGTGTGCAAGCGAACCTCTCGGCTGTCGCTCGGCTGTGCCTCGGCTGCCTCTCGGCTGCACTCTCGGCTGTGCCTCGGCTGCCTCTCGGCTATCTCTCGGCTGTCGCTCGGCTGTCTCTCGGCTGTCTCTCGGCTGTATCTCGGCTGTATCTCGGCTGTATCTCGGCTGTCTCTCGGCTGTCTCTCGGCTGCCTCTCGGCTGTCTCTCGGCTGTCTCTCGGCTGTCTCTCGGCTGTCTCTCGGCTGCCTCTCGGCTGTCTCTCGGCTGTGCCTCGGCTGCCTCTCGGCTGCCTCTCGGCTGTGTCTCGCCTGCTCGACGGTCAGCCGCTTGAAGGGCTCAAATCGCAGCATCGCCTGCATCAACCGTCAACGATCAACAGCGAGTATTCAACAACGGAAAGGCGCTCGGGTCGCAGCGTCGCCTCGAGCAGCTCGAGCGCGGCGGCGGGCGCGGCCGGGTAGAGCTCCGCGAGAGGCGTGGGCGGCAGCGGCGAGAGGGAGTGCAGGTAGTCTCGCATCTCTGGCAGCTCGATCCAGCCGAGCGGGCCCTGCGGCGTCCCGAGCACCGAAAAGATGACGTTGAGCTGGTCGAGGTTCGGCTCGGGGTTGGCGTCGTCCTCCACGGGGGAGAGAGGCAGGCAGGAGCGGCCGGGGAAGAGGGCGCCCCGGTCGCGGCGGTCCACCCTCGCCTGGCGGGGAGATGGGGAGATCTGGGGAGATATGGGGAGATATGATGGGGAGATCTGGGGAGATCTGGGGAGATATGATCGCGGCGGTCCACCCTCGCCTGGCGGGGAGATGGGGAGATCTGGGGAGGTATGGGGAGATATGATGGGGAGATATGGGGAGATCTGGGGAGATATGGGGAGATCTCGCCTCGGGCAGCATCGTCAGCAGCTCCGCGAAGATGCACGCGAACGACCAGACGTCGATCGCTGCCGTGTACCGCTGCAGCAGAATCAGCTCGGGCGCGCGGTACCTCGGGGGGAGATTGGGGGGGGGGGGGAGATTGGGGAGAGATTGGGGGGAGATTGGGGCGAGGTTCGGGTTCGGGGACATTGGGGCGAGGTTCGGGTAGATGCGGGGGAGATGCGGGGGAGATGCGGGGGGGAGATGCGGGGGGATGCGGGGGGAGAGTCGGGGGAGACAGGTCGGGCGCGCGGTACCAGCGCGTCACCACGTGCGACGTCATCTGGCGCGAGATCTGCGGCGGCGGCTTGCGCTCGAGCGGGTTCTCGCTGGAGCACCTGGCAGCGAGATCCGCCGAGATTGGCCGAGATCCGCCGAGATCACGCCGAGATTGACCGAGATCGGGCCTCTCGCTAGAGCGAGCACCGGCGAGCGAGCGCGGGCGCCGCCCTCTCGCGCTGCTCGTTGAGAGCCCAGTCGCTCTCGTCGACAACACGCGCCTAGTTCAGAACTGATCATGAATAATAATGATTGATCAAAGTCGCCCTCGTGCACAGCACGCGCCTAATTGATGATTACTCAGTAATAAGACAGGATGGATCACAGTCGCCCGACCCTCATGTACAGCACGCGCCAGCCCAAAGTCACACAACTTGACCTCGCACCGCTCGGAGAGGAGCACGTTTGCAGGCTTGAGGTCTCGGTGCAGCACCTGCAAGTCAAGGGAGCGACTGGTGCAGCCGTCATCAAAGACTCGGACGGCTGCAGCTCCTCGCGGGTGCAGCAGCCTGGTTGTTCGCTGACAGCTGTGAGTGGTTTGACTTCAGACTCGGGCGGCGGCGTGAGGTCGCGGTGCAGCACACACATGTGCAGAGTGGAGGTACTGCAGCCCGACCAGCATCTGGTGGCAGATCCACTGCACGTGCGGCACCTGCACACAGCAGCAGCGCGGCGGCGGAGCGGCTCGCGCGGTCAGTGCGCGGTGTGCCTCGGAGTGGCTTGGGTGTGTGTCGTAAGAGGGAGGCCTCCCACCCCTCGGCGAGATCTCGGCGAGATCTCGGCGAGATCTCGACTAGATCTCGGGGGACTCTCGGCGAGATCTCGGCGACGTCTCGGCGAGGTCTCACTGTGATTGTCTGCGGGGAGGCGATCAGCTTGCGCAAGTCGAGGTCGACGAAGTCAAAGACGACCCACAGGTCGGAGAAGGCGGACTCGGACTGCGGTCGCAGCACCTGCTCCGGATGTACCTCCCCATCTCTCCCCGTCTCTCCCCATCTCTGCGGACTCGGACAGCGGTCGCGACACCTTGTTGTGCGTTTCGTCTTGTGCGTTTCGGCTGCGGTGAACCATCCGTGAGTATGCTAAGAGGCAGGCGGGGAGGAGCGCGGGAGGAGGGGAGGGTGGAGCGAGGGGGGCGCGGTGCGGAGGAGGAGGAGGACAGGCCGTGCCAGGGGAGGAGCGCGGCCGGCACACCTCGCGGATCTTGATGATGTTGGGGTGGTCGAGGTGGCGGAGGATCCGCAGCTCGCGCAGGATCCGCTTCGCCTGTGGGACATGTCCGGGACATGTCCTGGACGTGTCCGGGAGACGGAGGCGCCGCAGCCCGCGCAGGATCCGCTTCGCCTCCGTCGCCTGGCAGAACGCGTTGTTGATCTTCTTGATTGCCACCTTGCCACCGCCGGCGGCCGAGTGGTCGTCGGGGTCCTTCGCAGCCCAGACCTCGCCGTCTGCGGGGTGGGGAGGGGAGCGGCGGCGTCTCGATGCGTGGCGTCCCACCCGCGAGAGCTCTCTTAGCGCGCGGGCCGGTGCGGGCACGCACAGGCGCCGCGGCCAAGGTGCGAGAGCAACTCGTAGTTTGCGGCTGCGTCAGGCCGTGCGCCTTGGAAGAAGCGGATCGTGTGGTGCTCAATGTCAGAGGTGGTGGTAGCGGTGCTGCTGCTGCCGCTGCTGCTCGCCATTGCCGCTCGCGTGAAGCAGGCGGTGAGCACAATTGGGGGCAGCCAGCGACGCCTCGGTGGCCCACAGAAAAAAAACGATTTCGGCGAACCCGATCCCGATCATCCGGCCCGCTGGGTGCGCTTCTTAGCTCCCCGGCCCTGGATGTGAGGCTACCGACTGCACTCCAAGTGCTCCAAGTGCTCCAAGGTCGGAGCTCCCCGGCCCTGGATGTGAGGTTGATGACTGCACTCCAAGTGCTCCAAGTCGGCCCTGGTTCTCACCTTCCTCGAGCTTTGAGGGGAGCGAGGAGGATCAGAGGGAGCGAAGGAGAACCTTCCATATTGAGCTGATATTGTGGGGTGTACATGACAAACAAACGGAGAGTCACAGTACGAGTAACGCAGTACCAGGCCAAATTGCATGCCGAGCAGCGCTCGTGGCTACGAGCAGCGCTCATGGCCACGCACCCGACGGGCGTGGATCAGATTTGCAGAGGGTGCGCGCTCCCACCCGGCTGTCTCGTCTACATCTCGCCGGGTCCGTAGATCCGGATGCCGTAGCTGACGGATGGCTCGAGTGGAATTTTCGCCCACCGCTCCAGCACTGGCTTCAGCTCGCGCATCACCCAGTTCTTGAGCGTCTGGAACGGTGTGAGAGGGGCAAGGGTCGGAAAGAGATTTTTGATCGCTGGCAGTGGCGGCGCGCGCCTTGGGGACGCGAACGAGGTGAGTGTCGGCCTCCCAAAAGTTGAGAGTCGTGCACGAAGTGACGTTCCAGCCGCGAGGGTTCCACGCCCACCTAGCGCGGGTGGTCGCAGTCGGGGCGGTGCCACCCCACTGAGGCTGTGGCTAGTATTGCTCCGCAACCAGAGCTGGCGCAGCATGGCGAGGTGGCGAGCTCGCTGGGTCGCGTTAAATTTCCAGCAGCCCAGCGCCTCCTACGACGTGCCGGTACCAAGTGAGACACATATACGTGCGCTGATTTGCTCTTGCACTCTCTCCCCCAGGCGATACAGGCGACCTCTCGGCGCACCTCCCTCACGCGAAAATGCTTCTTCTCATTGTACAGCTGCAGCAGCTTGGCGTGGATATGCGGCGGCGTCCGCATTGACTGAAACCCACGAGGAGTGAAGCGCGGGAGCTCAGCAGCGGTGATATTGGCGCGTCGCCGCCACAGGATCCGCTCTTGAACTGCGACGGTGTTCCAGTCCGGGGCGGCGCCAGAATAATCGATCCCCGACGACTGCGCGGCGGCCCACGCATGCGTGACCGTGTAGAGCATAAGTCAGCAAAACTTTGCGGCAAAGTTGGACTTCCGTGAAGACCTAGATCGAGTACAAACTCGGTGCTCGGTGCGCTGCGACCACCGCACTGCTCGAAGGCCCGACCGCTTGAGCGAGAGGGTTTCGCCGCGCAAGCGGGAGAAGAAAGAAAAATCCCGCCCGCTCCCGCGCCGCCTGACGGTCGGCCGCTCATGCGAGGCGTGGCCGCTCATGCGGCCCGATGGGGAGGAGCGGGGCGGACTACGGGGACTTATGGGATTCTTACACAGCCCTTCCCTGCAGCGAGCCCCCCTCCAACCCACCCGCGCTAGGTCTCGAGGGACGCAGGGGTCAGCCCCGCGCGACCTCGGAAACTAGCCGGGGCAGTCGGAGAAGGGGCAACTCCGTGCACTGACGGTCGGCCGTCAGAAAACACGCCTCCGTGGCTCGGGTTACACCAATCCTCGCTACCCAACGCGGCCAAAGGATATCCACCTCGAACCTCGAGAACAGGGGACCGCGAGTGAGTGAGGATTTCACACTCTTATGTATGTATGTAGGAAGGTGAAGAACAGCCAGGCTCGGACTGGACACCAACGCGGTATGGGTGGACGCAAGACAGATGATGACGACACGCACGAGCGACACACAGACACAAACAAGCTCACGAGACACACAGCCAGCGGGCTGCCACACATCCTGAGTGGGCGTACACATCACTCAGGCCACGTCCCCATGTCGCCCCCCCCCAGCACTCCAAGGTGCCAAGAGACAAACAACAGCACTCTTACAGGTAGCTGGTAGGTAGTAAGGTGAAGAACAGCCAGGCTCGGACTGGACACCAACGCGGTATGGGTGGACGCTGGACAGATGATGACTACACGCACGAGCGACACACAGACACAAACAAGCTCACAAGACACACAGCCAGCTGGCTGCCACCGAAAATAATTCTACGAACTCAAACCGAAAAGAAACCCGTGCGCCGAAACGGCGCCCGCGTCGCGGGCCTCTCGCCAGCGCAGCTGTGCGCCATCGTCGAGGCGCAGGCGGGCGCGAGCGACGCCGCGCTGCGCGTGGCGGAGGAGCACGCCGCTCGGCTCGTGGAGCAGCCCGAGTGGATCCTCTCCGAGGTCCTCCTCTCGCCGGACCTCGCCCCGCACATCCTCGCCCAGCTGCCGACCACGGAGCACGCCGCCAAGGGGACGTGCCGCGCGTGGCGCCGCGGCTGGAAGGAGACGCTGAAGAAGCGCGAGAGGGCGCGCCTCGTCGTGATCGGCGGCCACGCTGGCGACGACACTTACATCAGCTCGCTGGAGCGGTACGACCCGTCAACGAATGAGTGGGAGGAGGAGGCTGTGGCGCCGATGCCGTCGGCACGAAGCTATGTCCGCACGGCGATGCTCGACGGCAAGCTCTACGCGGCGGGCGGCCAGAATGGGGCTGACGGCGCAACTTCCAACCTGGTGGAGCGGTACGACCTGGCGACGAAAGCATGGGAGGCGGTGGCTCCGATGGTGACACCACGCGAGAGTCACGCCGTGGCGGTGCTCGACGGCACGGTCTATGCTGTGGGAGGCTACAACGACGACGATGCCTACCTCAGCTCGGTGGAGCGGTACGACCCTGCGACGAATGCGTGGGAGGCGGTGGCGCCGATGGCGGTCGAGCGGTTTGCTCCCGCCGTGGCGGTGCTCGACGACAGGCTGTATGCTGTGGGCGGCTCCCTCACCTCGGTGGAGCGGTACGACCCGGCGTTGGATGCGTGGGAGGAGGTGGCGCCGATGGCGACAGCGCGGGACTCTCCCGCCACGGCTGTGCTCGACGGCAAGCTGTACGCTGTGGGAGGCCGCAACTACGACGACGGCCACAATCCCCTCAGCTCGGTGGAGCGGTACGACCCAGCGTTGGATGCGTGGGAGGCGGTGGCGCCGATGGCGACGGCGCGGGATAGTCCCGCCGCGGCAGTGCTGGACGGCAAGCTGTACGCGGTGGGAGGCTACAGCGGCGACGACGAGTCCCTCAGCTCGGTGGAGCGGTACGACCCCGCGACGAACGCGTGGGAGGAGGTGGCGCTGATGGGGACGGCGCGGGGGAAGCCTTTCGCCGTCTTTATGTAGTCGCCGTTGTCTGTTGCGTGCTAGCCCCACGGCGTGGAGTGTGCGGAACAAGTCCTTCGCACCTGACTCCTGTGTGCTGCGCGTGCGTGCCCCCGCCGCTTTTGGCGAGACATGTTGCATACAGCACACAGTCTGCATAGAGAGCATCTGCACCATACAGACCCTCTCTGCACACACAGTGTGCACATTTGCGGGTGGGAATCTGTCTTCTCCGCACCCGTGTACATTGACTAGAATAATAATAAATAAAAACGGACACCTCTACTGTGAGATGGGTAAAAAGCGAGCTGACGACTCTCGCTTTTTTTATGCTTGCCCGTTGCCTTTTCTGGTAGGACGGGAACGAGATGATAGAGTAGGGAGTAGAAGAAAGCAAAGAGGAGAGCCCTGCGCACGCACGACTCCGCAGGCGAGAAGCCCCTCCCCCCAGCGACAAAACACAAGGGAGAGTCGGTGGGTCACAGAAAACTGCGGCCGCCAGCGACTGGGCGTCTCGCTGGCGGACGGGAAGAGGAACACAAACTAAGGGACGTCCGGACGTCCATCCATACACTGGGATGAGAGTACTGGAGACCTGAGGTCGAATCTGCCGATTCCACAGCCGCCCACAGGAGCGCCGCCTCAACACAGGGTCTCGGCTCTATCGAGCCATGCTAGCTCCAGCCGCAGCCCCACCCGGCCGCCCGAGGGTGTTCCCGCAGGCAGAGAAGACCAATCCTGGGGGAAGTAACCTTCTCTGGTAGGACGGGAACGAGATGATAGTAGGGAGTAGAAGAAAGCAAAGAGGAGCCCTGCGCACGCACGACTCCGCAGGAGAAGCCCCTCCCGCCCGTGCTTGCGCAGCGCAGCCTCCTCCTCCCTACTCGCAAGCCGGGTAGCACGCGGTGATTATGATGGGTTCCACCCTGTTGGTGATTATGAAGGGTTCCACCCTGCGGTGATTATGATGGGTTCCACCCTGAGAAAGAAAAAAGACAACCCATGGGAGGGATGGGCCTGCGTCGTGCCAGTCGAACTTCTTTTTTTGCGCCATGTGCATGAGCGATACCCTCTCTCTCTCTGTGTCTCTGTACTCATGATTGTCGCCGGCAGCTCTCTCCTTTTCGCCTCGCTCTCGCCCTTCGCCGCGATCCAGCCTCGCGCAGTGTGCCGCCACGCCGCCACTGCGATGAATCTCATCGACGGCGCAGTGCAGCTGCCAGTTGTGGCCGACGGCGTGGCGGCGGCAGATGGCCCGGCGTTCGTGCAGCTGATGACGGCGGCCGCATTTCTGGCGCTCGTGCCTGCACGACGGCTGCTGCAGCCACAGGGCCTGAGAGACGTTTACGTGCGGCCCGGCAAGGGCTCCCACGGCGTCGGCCTGATTGCGATTCGCTCCGTGCCAAAACGTGCCGCATGCGCGGCTGCGAAAACAGGAGGCCTTCTCCTGGCTCACAGCCGGCGCTTTATTTAGGCGCCCGCATCTGCGGTTGCGAGGCTCTGTACGCGGAGCAGCGCCGCACCGCCTCGCTGCTGTGGCTGCCTGCGGAGGTATGGCCGAGATACATCCGAGATACGGACGAGATGAAGCCGATGGAGCCTGCTCACACCTGTGTACTGCCAGGTGCGCGCCACGGTGCATGAGCTATGGGATGGAGTCGATCGCGATGGGACGTGCACGGTGCCGCGTTGGACTGCGACGGCGTGCACCTCTTCC